GTGAGACATGTGGACATTCCTAATCTTTGGTAATTGTTTCCAATTTGCCATATTTTTTTGGAAGGCAGCACTTTTCATATACTTTTCATCAGCATAAAAAGTGGTGCATGTCCAGAAAACCATGGTGGATCTTGCAACTCTAGTCTGTGATTGAGTCCGTGCTCTAGGTAATAATATTGATGTTTATCTGCAGCTCTGTGACAATCTCTCTGTAAGTGACATTCACTTTTCTGTTCTTCTCTTAGTCTGCACTGCCAGAGTCCCCTGTAACCCCCCCAGAGGATCGAGATGTAGCTGATGAAAGGAAAAAAATTTTGGAGTCTCCTGTAGAACAGCTTTCTAGTCTTGGGAGTCCACTGGTTATCCGGGAGCTCAGCAAGGTGAGCCACAAGGAATTTAGAACTCAAAAGCAGAGGAGATAGAAAAAGCCTTTGCAGGGAGGTGGGTGGGCACTGGCTAGCAAAAAGATGGAAAATGGTTTAAAATTAGAGAGAGTTAAAATATACTTTTATTACTTTATAAAAGGTGTACGGACGACGTGCCTTGGTACTTGCTGTTGACCGTATATCGTTAGCGGTTGGACGAGGCGAGTGCTTTGGGTTGTTGGGTTTCAACGGAGCTGGAAAGACGACCACATTCCGAATGCTGACTGGAGATGAGAGCATCAGTTCTGGAGACGCATACATCGATGGATACAGCATTCTGAAAAACATCAAAAAGGTGACTCAAAGCATGAAAACACGTGTAGAACATCTGAATTTAGTAATAGTGCTTGTATTTGGAGAATGTTAAAATGTGACTGTCACTGACATATTACCTTTACAGAAAATAATTTGAATCAATAGCTGTGAAATGGGGAGAATTATCAGGGAAATTACAAATTTAAGGTCAACGTGGAAAATTTCTCCTGTTTTGTCATAATGGGAGTGTTATTTACAAAAGTGAGAATTGTTGGGAAATCAAAGTAAATTTCAAATTTAAGGCCAAAGTAGCCAAACTGGAAGCTTAGCTGACTTGAGACATTTTTTAAATTTGTCTATTTTCACCTTAAAGGGACACTATAGTCACCAGAACTACTACAGCTTATTGTATTCTGGTGAGTATAATCAGTCCCTTCAGGCTTTTTGCAGTAAACACTGTCTATTCAGAGAAAATGCAGTGTTTACATTGCAGCCTAGTGATAACTCCACTGATCACTTCTCAGATGGCTACTAGAGGTGCTTCCTGGGGCAGTGCTGCACAGTGAGACTGCCATTCAGTGTCTCCACCCTCTGCATGCAGACACTGACCTTTTCCTCATAGAGACGAATTGATTCAGTGTATCTCTATGAGTAGATGGTGATTGGCCAGGGCTTTGTTTGACTTGTGCTGGCTCCAGGGGCGTACCTAGAGCATTTGGCACCCGGGGCGGATCCTGTGCTTTAAAAAACCTGTAAAAAATGTTAAAGGTTTTCTTTAATTAATCCACACTCCTTAATTAATCCATACCCCTTAATTAATCCACACTAATTCATCCATTAATCCACACTAATTCATCCACACACCCTTAATTAATCCACCCCCCTTAATTGATACACACACCCTTAATTAATCCGCACTAATTAATCCACCCCCCATAATTAATCCACACTAATTAATCCACCCCCCATAATTAATCCATCCCCCTTAATTAATACACCCCGCAATTAATATCCATCCCCTCCTTTCTCTCACCCCCTCCTTTCTCCTCTTTCTCACCCCCCCTCCTTTCTCCTCTTTCTCACCCCCCTCCTTTCTCCTCTTTCTCACCCCCC